CACAAGGAATTTCTACACATCCTGAGCGCGGGGGTCTCACACACCAGGAATGAAAAGAACCTGGCAGGGCACTGCTTGCAGAGGAACACTAAAGAGAAAGTTCACAAACCTAGGAAAGATCCCTTTCCCCTGCACTGGCCAGCTGACCTGACCCTGAGATTAAACAGTACAGCAGACACTCGATCCCAAGGCAGGGGACAGAAATTACACAGTAAAAGTGACTGGAAACTGGTCAAAATCTGTAACACAACAGAGTTTTAGTGCATATAAACTGCTTTCAAAATGGCTGAAACCAGTTTAAGATAAACCTGGATGGATGCAAGATCAGACTTAACTGATTTAGGTTAAATCGGTTTACTGAACTTCTGTCCCAGATTCCCTCCAGATTCAAGTTAACTCACAGTCCCCCAGTATCCCAGGATGCTTTGCAGGCTGGGTGGGCTAGTCTTAATCCAAGGTGTCTGCTCTAGTCTAGCAGGGATACGTACTCTAGTGTCCGCTAGCTTCTGGCCTGGGCCACCACAGGCATAAGGCTGCATTGCCAGAATCAAAAGTGAATATTTGTTCACTTGCTTATTGGTTCAATCTATGCATCTTAGGCTAACCTGCAAAGATTGAATCAATTCAGCCTCAGGCTTTTTGACTGTGTGTACTTAGCCTAAGTGGCTCTGTAACAGAGTCTTTCCAGAACTCTTAATGCTCTGCACCTCTGCCCAATTCTACCAAGGCTGTATCTTAAAAGCTACAGCTGATCTCATTTGTGCTTCCGTTTAGGCCATGGAAAAGCCTTCACTGAAACCACAGGGAACAGGATCAAGCCCTCTGGCCTTTGCACTTAGTATCTGGAGCTGTTCATAAAGCTTACAAGGACAATCTCCAGGGCAGTAGCTTTTCAAATCACAAAAGTCAGCTTTAAAATGGTGAATCATTGGCACAGTAAATCTTTCTGAAACATTTTCAGGGGGAAATGTAACCCACAAAGGTTCAGGAGAGTGAAGGCTGTACATATTAGTGCACTGTCATTCTTGTCATAAACCAGGCCTTTAAATAGTAGACTAACGCATTAGAATATTTTATGCCTGATACTTTATGACATTATTGGCTCCAGTACATCAAACTTTATGAGGCTTTTGGCAACATTATCAAACCACTTCCCATTTCGTTCACTTTTCACTGTAAAAATAGGCTGATTTTTCCTTCCAGCATGAAATTAATATATACTTTACACAGAACCTTTTAAAACAAGAAAGTGTGTTAATTCTTTAAGATATTTCTTTTTCAGAAGACATTTTTCCCATATGTGAATGGGTTGTCATTTGACAGATAGAAATGTGACAAGGATTCAAATTGCTCTGAGCACATAGTAACATTTTTTCAAAGCAGAACATTTTCATTAGGATGTGTCAGTGGGAATTTGGGTATTAGGCCCCATGTTGATTGTTCAGTGTCTCAGATTCAATGGCTAGTGGTGAGAGGGTATCAACTTTGCTCTCAGTGCAAGTCAGAGAAACTTTAGGAAGGAAGTGCCTTTCCAAAAGCAGGGAATTGCTGGAAAACAGCACTAGTTCCTGCTCCTACATCAGAGACTATGGAAGGAGTAAGCACAAGACATTCTAGTAATTCAGGGCCAACTGGGGATCTACCTGCACTAGGGGATCCTGGAATACAGTGGCTAGATGACTGCTCTGTCCCTCTACTTTTTCCTTGTCACACACCAAGTGCTCAGGAAGCAGACATGTCTCACCAGCACAAACTGCAGTGATAAATAAAGCATGGAACCACGCTCTGAATGCTTAATTTCCTCAGCTGGTGCTTGGCCTAGCAGAGATTTATGACCTACTTTTTTCTGTATCATTTCTACATTTTTCTTTGAAGATGAGAAAAAGGGAAGAAGGCCTTCAGGGAAAACAACCTACTTGCAAATTAAAATGCATGCATGTTTTACCAGACAAAGCTGTGCCCTCCAGCCTTTGTTGTATGTGATGATATCTAATTTTGTTAAGGTCTTTATTTCCCAATCGTTTCCAGATGTTCTCTGGGGCATTCTATTCACTTGCACTGAGACACCCCAGTGGACTGTCTGAAGACAATAAGACCAGCAAACTGCTATGCAAAAGCAGCAGCTTCTCGGCCTCTTGAAGGCTCAGATCAAGTTTAGTTTCCTTCAGAAGCAGGGAACTAAAGGGTCTTGGCACTACATTATAAAAGATGGGCTCATTCCAGGATTTTGTGCACTCCCTAGCAGACAGCTCTGGCAGCACAAAGCTCAGCAAAGGAAGAGAGATGTTGATCTAGTGGCTAGGGCACTAACCTGGGACTTGACAGTTCTAGATTCAGTTCCCTGCTTGCCACAGGTGTCCTTGGGACCCTGGAGAAGTCACTTTGCTGATGACAGGTTCTTCTCTACTGCAGAGGCATTGTGAAGATAAATCACTGTGGAACTGAGTAGCTGCTACAATCTGTGGTTCTCAACCTTTTCTAGACTCAAGGCACCTTGTTAAACTCAAGACATTCCTCAGAAAATGCCAGCTCTTAGCTTCCACTCATTTCTTGACTATGGAAAAATAACAGAGCAATTCTATTGCAAAGAACTCAAAAAGACCACAACAGATCAGAGTGTTTCTAACACTATGGATACCTATTTGAAATCTCTGGCCAGGTACAGACATTATACTTTTATCAGTATAAGTGATTGGAATCTGGTCTACATCCATAACAAGTTCAGCACACAAAACCAGTCTATACATGTAACAAAACAGAAATTCAGTGCACACAGAGTGGTTTAAAAAAGGCAAACCTGGTCTAAGCTTTTCCCCTCCCCACTGGGCAAATGCATTTTCTGTTCACTACTGATCAAAACTACACTGCTTACAGAAAACAACGCAACTTAGATTCCACTTTGGGCTTGTTCAATGTCTGTACCTAGCCTCTGGGTTTATCTTGTGAATCATGTGTAGGTGTTTGCACACCTAACAGCGCTAATATTTCACAGCACCCTTCAGCACCTTAAAAGGATCTCCTATCCTGAGAATCACCCAACTGGGAGGTAGACTGAGTTGCCCCCAAGCAATAGCGTCTCTGGAACAACCAAAAGGTCAAAGAGCTACTGAGAGAAGGGGTGCAGATGGGATGGCTCTGGAGTCCTTTGTGGAGCTTCTGCAAGCATTGTCGACCTCTTTCTGATGAAAACCTCAAGCAAGATAACGGCCAGGATACCACCTTTGTGACATAGGTGCCATTTTGAAGTCTCTCTAAATAGTAATGACATCTGTGAGGTTGCTGTCCATGCTCTTTTAATCTAAAATGCATCCTGAGGAGTCTGCAAACAGTATAGCTCAGCAAACAACCTGATACCTTTTCTCTCCCTTAACACAACTGAGCCTTTTTATACTGAAAAGTCAGGAAGCATTCCCAAAAAGTTAACAATCTCTTTCTTAAGGAAAAAAGGACCATCCAAGCACTTCAGGTCCATTTTTAATTTGCATAGCCTTGCTTATTCATTCAAAGGAGATTGGAAACTTACATGCCTCTCACCTTCTTCTGGCCACCCCAAACATCCAGGAAGATGTTTTTTTCCCCCAGGAATGCATTATTTGAGGGAATGATGGGGCCCTTTTCATCCTCCTATGGCCACAAGTGGAAATGGGAGTTTAGTTGGGGCACATGTGGTAGTGCTAACGGTACCGAGAAGCCTTTCAGGTGCCTGGGGCCAAGCCTTGCTCATATAACCCAAGGTCAAACTGTCAGATTTCAGGTGAGGAAAGCATTCCTTCCTCAGATCAAACTGACAAGAACCATTGGGTTTTTTCCCTTTCCTTTGTAGCACATGGTATAGTACTTTTAATTTAGGTATATATTAAATTAGCATATTCTGTACTGTTGCATTTACCACAGGATTGATAGTACTCATGTCTCCCCAGCTCTTTATTTGTGGCATGCTGTAAGGTTTTGATGTCAGCTATTTTGTGTCTGTGACATGAGAGGGGCCAGAACAGATGTTCTTGTGGACCCTTTTAGTCTGCTGGCATACACAGGGGACTAGCTGGTCCAGAAAGTCCTATCTGTGTTTCTAAAAGCCTTGCCTTCCTGTTTTATCTCCTCATGCTGTCCAGTATAAATGACTTCTTAAGCTGGAGGGATGGAATGGATAGCTGAACATTTCTATGGTACAGTCTTATCTATCCATATATTGCTGCCAAGGAAAGTAGTGGGATGCAGCAAATCTTTTATCTGACAGGTCAGAGGCACTATGTCCAAGAGGGACTGGAAGTGAGGAGTCTTTCAGATCTATTCTTACTTCTACTTCCAAGTTACTTTGCGTCTCTGGCTTTGGACAAGGCACTGAAGCCAACATTTTCAGAAGTGTTCTCAATTTGAGGCACTTTGTGACTGACTGTCAGAGGTCCTGAGGACTCCTACCTCCTAGCAAAGTACAAGACAGAGGCAGACACAATTAGTGAGCACCTGTGAAAATGTGGCTACAATTCAGTATGTTTTTCCATGGGTAGATGCAGATAACAATGTTGACCCAGCTTAACAATGTGCCATGAGGATTAATCAGTGGTTATCAAGAGCTTTTTTTTAAATTTTACAGAATCTCTAAGTGTTGAATATTCCAACATCAGGGCAGAAGCTCCTCAGATTAAATAAATTTAGTTCTTGCATTGCCTTTTTCTTCCACAGCTCACCAAGGCTCACCCAGCCTGGCAGGGGTCATTATCCTCTTCTTACCAAGGAGAAACTGAGACAGTAACTCACTTATGGTCTGGTAGCCAGTCAGTGACAGAGCCAGGAACAAAATCCAGGTCTCAGGCCCCATCCTCCAGAACATCCTGTCCGATGGCTATAAATGATCCCTGCGCAGGTTAACAGGGACCAATGTACACGTGAGGAGAAAAGTCTCTGAAAGTGTGTGTTGTGTTGTAGTGTACTGTATATATGCATCACAGGCCTTGCTATAGATTCTTTTAGTGGTTCACAGAAACAGTTACCTTCTGGTCTGTCTGTCATGTTTTTATTTCCCATGGAAATTCAGCTAATGAAATGTGCACAGTATAGCTGTGAAAACAAGATTTGTTTTACACGGACTGAAAGATTGTTTCTTGTATCCAAATTAGAGTTTTGCATGCACCTGCATACTCACCCTAACCCTGCCCTTGTGCTGCTCCATGCCTGAATCACATGCCAGGTTTGCTTTGCACAGCAGGCATATCATATGCACATGGCAATCAGTATGACAGCATATTCTGCAGATCAGATCCCACACAAGAATTTACCTAGAAAATCTAACTGTCCTGGTAACTTTCGGGAGGGAACTGAGTTTTAATGTGGAATTACCACGAGCTGTGATGATAAATCTTATACACAATGCATTTGCTTGTCAGAGTTCAAACCAGCTTCTTCCTCAATGCTAAAAGGTGAAAATCTTATAAAGCATTATTTTTTTGCTGACTGGGTTTCATTATGCTCCAAGTCTATCACAATGCATGCAAACCAGAGGGACTGAATTCATAAAGCTTTTAACTAAAAAAGACATATTTAAAAAACATAGAACATAAATTAAGGTACTTATTCTTCTTTCTCCATTGTTTTTAGCACCGAATCTTCTCCCAAGATTTTGCAAAGTTCATTCAGTCTCTGTTGCATTTTCGGAATTCCTGCAAGCTGTGATTCTAGTCTTTGTTTTTCCTCACTGAGGGATAAACGGATAGCAGTGTCCAAATGTTCAAAGCGCCAGCCTCCTTGTCCATCAAACTGTAACAAGTGAGTGTGGTACTTCCTGCATTAGAATTGTAGGCATTAGCAACGGTTTGGGGAACAGCTTTGTGCACAAGGCTTGAAACAAGAGCATTAGCTTCTCCAAGGCAGTATTTGAGCAAGACCTATTTTGTGTTCAACAGATTAACAATACACCACCTACACAGCTAAATGCTGTCCTTTTTTAGAGGAAAAAGCTGAAAAGTAACTATATGAATGAAAGCATAACGCATTTTCAAAAAAAGATTTGGGCACTTCAGATCCTAAATCTTTGTGAAAGTCTTCTAGGCTTTCCTTAAAGCTTGGTCTACACTGGGATTCAGCAATCTGAGGCCAGTGTTCACCACACTAGTGTTTCTGCTATCAGAAGCTTGGACATAGATCTGGTGCATCAGCTGAGCCTCTCCACCCAGAACTCTATTCTGAGATGATGCAGGTAAGAGACTTTGGCTAGGGTATTCAGGGTGCCACCCTAAAGCCTCCTGCTGCAAGGGCTGGAGAAGTCTGGTCCTCGTTTCCTGGCTGCCTCTCTTTGGCTGCTCAGCAATAACCATTATTCTTTAACAACAGCACAAGCAATTGGTGCTCCATGCCCACTAGGAAGCAGCCACCAAGGTCACCCTTTTAATGATTACATTTACAGAAGTGGCTAAGGCCACCACACTTTCTCAACCACTAAAAGTGCCTAGGACCCTCTCTGCCTCTGACCACCCACAAGAAGAGTGGTCACACCGACGAGCAATTATAGTCTCCATGGCACTTACCTGAGCAGTTTGTTTCAAACTGCAGGTACATGATGATGTTACAGATGTTATTGTACAACCTACAAGTGGGAGAGCTCTATGCATCACCCATTTCCATTTAAAAACCAGAGTTACACCCAACTGGTCCCTTCCACTCTGTAATGAAGGACAGCTTCACAATATGAAGCATATGGCCTAATTCCTTGTATTTAAATTATTCTCTCTGTTGCAGAATTGTACCTTCTTAGAAGAAAGTCCACTAAGACCTGTTCCTGTTTGGCAGACAGAATATATTAGTTTAAAATTACACGTTAGTTGGTTTCCCTGGTTTCCAGTCTCAGACTGTAATTGTTTGCTTGGCCAAGTCTACAGTACTGCTTAATTAGCAAATGGGGACAAAAGTCTGTGGAGGTGAGAGATCTTTCAGTACCAGGGTGTGCACTCAAAGCAATAGTTCAAGATGTGCACCTGTACTTTTATAAGCCTTACAGAGATTTTTAACAGAACGTGGGGAAGTGTGTTTGGGCATGTGGGTATGTTCAAGGTGGGAGGAGGGGATTCCAGCAGAAGTGCTGTTGTGAGCTTAGTAATTTCTAGTCACATTACTGAAGTTGAGATGCATCACAAAATGGAAATTAAAGAGATATGTAACTCCATCAAAGACTCATGATCATTTAATAATTGCCAACAGCTTATGGTTAGGGATGTGAAAGGTTAAATGATTAACTGCTTAACCAATAAGTCCAATAATAACTGGTTAGCTTACCAGTTATCATTTAGCTCAGGGCGAGTGCAGTCTAGCAGGGAAGGGGGGAAGGAAAGCAGCGCAGTGCCTCAGCAGCAACCAGAAGGTAGCAGGGCAGGCAGGAAGGAGGGAGGAGGAGAAGGGGAAAGAGGGGACTAGTATTAGTCTATAAGGTTAAAGGGGAAAACAGCAGGTGACTTAATGACACGTTAATTAAGCAACTCACTGCTCGTTCACAGTCCGTGTCTTCTGGTGGGGCTTGCTACCACCTCCTCCTCCATTAAAAGGCCCAGGGAGGACTCCCAGCAACGGCTGTGTCTGAGCTGCTGTGTTATCAGTTAACCATTTAACCAATATAATTAAAGGAGGTTAAATTCATATTTTTAAATTATATTTACATGCCTATTTACGGTTCATTAGGGAATAGGATTTAATTGCAAATTATCAGTTTCACTATACTGGTCAAAGCTTAGCCTTACACTGCCCTCCCTAAAAATTATCCTGCAATCAGAAAGAAAGCACAGTCCAGAGAATATACTATGAGATGACCAATTAGGTCTGTTCAGGACAGCAGGTAACCTGCTGCAGAAGAAAGAAAACAGCCAGTATTTGCCAGTGTTGTCTTTGAGAAGGAGATGACCGTGGGTGATCTTGTCAATGCCTAGGGAAGCACAGCTGTGTTCGAGACATTTGGAATTTATGGCTGCCTATACAGGTGCTTGGAGAGACCAGGGGGGATGACAATTAGAGCAGTTCCTGGGCAGCCGCTTTAATTAAAATGCTGCAGTGCCATGTGTATTACGCCCCTGTGCATTTAAAAATGGCCACAGGGTGCTTTATCAAAACCTCATTCGATAAGGTTTAGTTAAAGCACCCCATAGCCATTTTTAAATGTGCTGGAGCTTAATACACATGACACTGCAAAATTTTAATTTTAACGCAATGGGAAAATAAATTCCAAAGACCTTCAGTCAAGAGCTATCAGCTGAACATCCCTCTGCATTCTGGCTACTGACAGGCTTCACACCCTGTAATTATGTAGTCTTCATTTTCAGGTGCAGTGCTTTTACAGTAATTTTAACTCTTTTCATATTTAAACAGTATATTTAAGAGATTTAAATGCAACCCATACTCTTTTAAAAACAAGTGGAACTTGAAAACTGAGCTTGTTGGGGTGATAATCATCTGTTTTAGCAGGAGTTCCTGGCATATAAATTTGTCCCATAACTGAGAACCTGATTGTGCCAAATTTTAAACATGTAGTTTCCTTTATGCATTGTGACTCATGCTTCTGACTAGGGAGGAGCTCTATGGAAGCAATCCACTTCTCAGAGAAGCAAAAGCAATGATGCAGCATCTTTCTTCTGAGACATCAAGATGGAAGAGCCCCCCTTTATCATGAGCAGGGATCCAGGTTTTCTGTTTCCCATTGGAAAAATGAAGAAAAATGTGAATTTCCACCTTTACCCGAGGAAAATGCAGTTTTGTCATTTTAATGGAGAAACCTGCAGATTATTCAGGTTTTGCAAAGAGCTCTCTGCAACCTGGCAGAGTTTCAGCCTGCAAGGGGATGGCGGGGAGCAGCAAAAGGGTGGTCAGGTAGCGGGTGCCATGTGCTTGTATATGCACATGGCTGCTAGGCAGCCTGGAGAGCAGCTCCCGCAGGTAAGTCTGGGGTGGAGAGGGGGAGGGATATGGGGCCCCCATAGAGAAGGAGGGAGTGAGGCAGGTCTAAAGCTGGGGCTGTGCATAGGGCCTAGGGTCACAATATGCGGCCACAGGGCTCTGGCAGGGAGCGGGATGGGGCCACAGGCAGCTTGTCTGAGGGGGAGGGGAGGGTTGGGCCAGCTGCCTGCCACTGCATGTACTCCCAGGGGGGCAGGTGGGGC